TAGTAGAGATGAGGTTTCGCCATGTTGGCCAGGCTGGTCTTGAACTCCTGACCTCAGGTGATCCACCTGCCTTGGCCTCCCGAAGTGCTAGGATTACAGACATGAGCCACCACACCCAGCCAGGACAAGTCCATTTTAGTGTATTCATTTAAGCGATGTCCCCAAGGTGAGTCCAGTTCAGCCCAACGCCAGGGGTTTTTGCATGGACAGTCTTCATTGTTGAAGTGGACGTCCTCTTCCCCTGAAGCCTACTGTTAGAGACAGCTCCCCCTACCCTCACTGGCGATGTGCTGTTTACTCCTTCCCTTTCTTTGGACTTGCAGGGTTTCTATGTTGCACTGAGACTGGTGGCCTGTGCACAGAGTGGTCACGAAGTTACTTTCAGCAATCTGAATTTGAGCATGCCGCCACCTAAATTTGTGAGTGTCCGAAGTCCTTCAAGTTCACATTCTTCTAATACCAGATGTGTGTGCGTGTGTATGTGCATGTGTGTATTTGCGTGTATATCTCCATGTTTTCTCTAGCCTTCCCCTTTTATTGTGGTGAAATTCACATAATAGAAAATTAATAATTTTAAAGTGAACTCTTCAGTGGCGTTTAGTACATTTACAGCGTTGTGCAGTCATTGCCTCTGTCTAGCTCCAGAACATTTTCATCCCCCCACAAGGAGACCCCATCCACATTAAGTAATCACTCCTTGTCTCTCACTCCCAGTCACTGGCAACCACTAATTTTATTTCTGTCAATGGATTTGCCTGTTCTGGACATTTCATGTCAATGGAATTCTCTAACATGGTCTTTTGTGTCTGGCCTCTCTCTCTCTCAGCATCGTGTTTTCAGGGCTCATCCACGTTGTAGAATGGATCAGTGTTTCCATATTCCATTTAGTGGATGGACCACATCTTTATCCACTCATCTCTCTGTGGACATGTGGGTTATTTCCACCTTTTTGACTGTTGTGAATAGTGCTGCTGCGAGCATTCATGTACAAGGATTTGTTTGGACAACCGTTTTTAATTCATTTGAGTCAATACATAGGAGTGGAATTGCTGGGTCATGTGATGATTCTGTGTTTAACTTTTTGAAGTCTTCCCTTTTTTGAAAGCACTTTGAAACGTGTATCCTTTTCAGCAAACCCACCCACCTATGATTTAATTCTGTGCCAGCCACAAAGGAATGTTTCTCTCTCTTCTCAGCATGACACCAGCAGTCCTCTGATGGTCACGCCCCCCTCTGCAGAGGCCCACTGGGCTGTGAGGGTAAGTGAACGGGAATAGGTCCCTCCTTGGCTCTCCTTCAGATAGAATTGTTCCAGCAGTTGTTCTAGAATTGTTCTGGAATTGTTCTAGTTTGATGTTGTTCGGAACATTTTATAGGATGATTGTGTCAGCTCTTCTGTCTCAGTGTGAATGTCCACAGCACTTGGATGAAACGCCTCTTCTGAACACCTTTTACAAAGGCTATGGCCCTTCACTGGAATTGGGAGTTGCCTGTCGGGACAACTGAGTGTCAGGAATTGGATTATTAAAGGACTGCAGTTTAAATCTTGCATCTTTAGGTCACATTCTGTGGTTTTTGCTGCTTGTGTTGGTTATTCAGAATAGAAGAGGAAACGGTGAGAGCTTGCAAGCACGTGGACCCCCAAATGTGTTCCTTGCTTTCTCGCTTCTTTCCAGCCACTTTGCATGTTACTATTCTTTCCTCCCTGATGTTCTGATTGCTTTGTGAACAGCCTCTCTCAGCACTTGAAGTGTTATTTTTAAAACAGAGGATGTTGTGGCTGGAAAGATATGCTACTGCTTCCAGAAAGACGAAAAAAAATGAGGGCTGTCTTCTAAGTACAGAATTCCTTCTAAAGGAAGTGAGCATGGTCCCTCCAGATAACGTGAGGCCTCCTCACCTTCCCTTCACTTTCAGACTGTCACATTTCCTCACGTTTGTGTGGCTTAAATCCTGACATGAATAACACTTGCTATCAAGCAAAGGTCCCAAGTACTTGTGTCCCATGTTTACACGGTTGGTTTGTTCCCTTCTTGGGGAGGTCATGGGTTGGGTAGGGGGCATCTGTGCAGGGAGAGGACATGAAGATGTGTCATGTGACCAAGGAGTCATGCAGTCACCTCTGTCATCGAGTACTTTGCCAGTGGCAGTCACTGTGGTGAAGGGTTTCTCCTTGTCATCCAGCGCATTGTGTGGACTTTGAAACAGAGCTACTTTGTCATGGGAAACACTGCCAAGAGATCTTATTATTTAAAATGTGATGGCTCTTTTCCAGCAGGGGTTATGTCCAGGCCTCATTAGAAGAGCTGGGACTGAGGGGCCTGGGGACCTTGCAGAGAGGAGTCAGGGAGTGCAGGACCAGGCGCTGTAATTGGGGTGGATTATGGTCAAGAGAGATTGTGCATTCCATTCACAGCCACAGTCAGAAAGAACAAGCCCGAAGTGCCAAGTGTTTGTTTCCGTTGTGAACATTCCTGGGCTTCTGAAGGCACTGAGTCAGCAAGTCTGATGGCCGGGAGAGGATCTCAGGCCCCCGAGACAGACCTGCAGCGCTCAGCTTCTTAGCACCAACAGCCGTGAGAGCATGCGGTGTCTGCCGGTGATCTCATCTCTGTGACTGAGGGCACTGTCTTGGTTTTTCTCTTTTAAAAATTAAAAGGTTTTTATTGTGGCTGAAAGACACATCACATAACATTTACCATCTTAACCATTTCTAAGTGTACAGTTCAGGAATGTTAAATATATTCACGTTGTACAGCCATTACCACCGTCCATCTCCAGAACTTTCTCATCCTCCCAGACTGAAACTCTATACCTGAACCTCCCACTCCCTCAACCCCTGGCACCCATCATTCTGCTTTCTGTCTCCATGGATATGCCTAGGGAGGAGGGGACCTCCTATGAGTGGCATCATGCGGTATTTGTTTTTTGTTATTTTTGAGATGGAGTCTTACTCTGTTGCCCAGGCTGGAGTGCAGTGGTGTGATCTCAGCTCACTGTAATCTCCGCCCCCCGGTTCAGGTGATTCTCCTGCCTCAGCCTCCTGAGTAGCTGGTACTACCGGCACGTGCCACCATGCATAGCTAATTTTTGTATTTTTAGTAGGGGTGGAGTTTCACCATGTTGGCCAGGCTGGTCTTGAACTCCTGACCTCAAGTGATCTGCCCACCTTGGCCTTCCAGAGTGCTGGGATTACAAGCGTGAGCCACTGCGCCTGGCCTAGTTTTGCTTTTGTTTTTGTTTTTTATTTTTAGAGATGGGGTCTCACCATGCTGCCCAGGTCAGTCTCAAACTCCTGGGCTCAAGTGATCCCCCTACCTTGGCCTCCCAAAGTGCTAGGATTACAGGCATGAGCCACTGTGCCAGCCTCATACAGTATTTGTATTTTGTGTGTGGCTGGTTTATTTTAATTAGCATGCTGTCCTCAGAGTTTGTCCACATTGTAGCGTGTGTCAGAACTCACTTCCTTTTTGTGGTTGAGGGATGTTCCACTGTCTGGATCTACCTCGCTTTGTGTATGCATTCATCTGTCGATGGACACGTGTTGAGGGTGTTTTCTTAGTGCTCCCAATAGCTCCAGTGTGTGGCCAAGCAGGTTGCGAGAGGCCTGCTCTCCCTGAGTCCCACTCGTTGTGGACCTCCTTTCCTTTGGAGAACGGAACAGACTGGAAGCCGCTACCTCACTCGTGGCCTCTTTTACGGGCTGCCTGCACTGTGTCTTTCAGAACAGCAGGAACTGCGACTCTGCATCGTAATGCCGCACCTTCCCTTTGTTCATGAAGCGCTATTCCTATTTATGTATTAATTTATTTACCATTAGAAATGGAGGGCTTCCTGTATATGGCCGGGCTTGGTGGCTTACACCTGTAATCCCAGCACTTTGGGAGGCCGAGGCAAGCGGATCACTTGAGGCCAGGAGTTCAAGACCAACCCGGCCATCATGGTGAAACCCCATCTCTACAAAAAATACAAAAATTAGTCGGGTGTGGTGGCGCATGCCTGTGATCCCAGCTACTCGGGAGGCTGAGGCATGAGAATTGCTTGAACCTAGGAGTCGGAGGTTGCAGTGAGCTGAGACTGCGCCACT